AGTTCACAGTTTTATGTTAAACAGATATTAAGCCAAGAAGACTAAATTAATTTTCTCCTCCAGTGCACAGCAAATCACTATTAATATTAATGCCTGTTAATATGAAGCAGAACAGATGTTCTTCTCTATTATTCTGAAAATAAGCAGACAAATGCATATTAGAGTTTTAATAAGCCTGAATACAAGTCAACTTTCATGCTTTGTTGAACTTTCCAGTAATTCCTAAACGACAATCTTAAATATTCTGGAAAGCAATTTTTATTTTGTCTATCGTTAAATACTGCTTTTTACTTGGGGTCCTTCCTTACTATAAATTTAATAGGATGACCAAAATTTCATAAATCAGCGATGTACTGCTACTATAACATATGAAACTTCTCAGCTCATTTAGTTGCTCCCCCTCTTTCTGAATAAATTTGTTCTGTTTGCATGTATAAAAGTTCACATCACCATATTTATTAAAGAAAACTCTGGTGTGATGGAAAGAGCATTGATCTGGAAATATATTATTATTATTAAATGTATCATTTCCAGGCCTGCCCTTACTAACACTTAACTCCCACATTCCTTGGTTACATCTCCTGTAAAATGCTGATAGTAACTACTCTACCACACCATGTTTTTGTGAATATCAAATAGGATTATGTAAGGGAAAAGGGAGTGTTGCCCCCTAGAGAAGAAACAAACCCACACCATCTCTCTACAACTGACAAAGTAATCCAACCATTTGAAATCTGCCCCTTCTTAACCCCTGTAGAAAGATAGCAGCAGCAAAATTTTGTGGATTCTAGCTAAGGCCCAGGATACTTTCTATTAAAAACAAAACGAAACAAACAAAAAAACCCCACTTCTCATCCTTCCAATCCACCTCCTAGCCCCGTCAGTAACGGTGGTTTTGAAAGTTATCCTGGGGCCTTTCATATGGGGCCCTAATGTGGGGTGCCATTCCGTATGGTTCTCAAAGTGTGGTTCAGAGCCAGCAGCTTCAGCACCACTCCGGAAAAACCTGTTAGAAATGCAAATTACCGGCCCCACCCCAGACCTGCCACTGAATCAGAAACTCAGGTGGGGCTCAGCAATTTGCGTTTCAAGTCCTCCGGGCGGTTCGGATAGACATTCAGGTCTGAAAATCACTGCGGGTAGTCTCCTCTGCTTCCATCTATATATGGCCCAAGGACACCTTCTCATAACTCTGCAGATGACTTTTCACTGCCCTCCCTAACAAAATACCACGCCATCCCTCCTGGACCGAGCATTAGCACTGAATTGATGTGGGTAAGACTGAGAGGAATCCCAGAAACTCTTCCCACAGCACAACTCTGCCCCCGTGCCAATCCCTTATCACCCTCAGCGGCAGGAGCCAGAGCATCAGGACCAGGCTGTCTCCCTCCATCCTTCCCCAGCGAGGGGCGCCAGGTGGAGATCCACACAAAAGCGAGGTGTGCCCGCTCCTCAGCCGGCCCGGGCTTGATGGGCCCCGATTACCTGCACTAGCGTCATCTGCGAGCCGAGCGCCAAGAGTATCTTCTCCGTCTTGGTGGGGTACGGGTTGTCACGGTGCTTGTAAAGCCACTGCTTGAGGGGCCGCGCCATGTCTTGCAGGGCCTGCCGCTTGTGCCTCACCTTCCCGCCATTCTGCCGGGCCCTGGGACACCGGGAGAGGAGGAGGCCCCGGTAAGCAGCGCCGTCTGGGCGCTGCCCGCCGGGATCCCCCACATTTGGGCGCATTTCAGCGGCCGCAGCCCCGCGCCGACCCACTTCCCGCATCCCAGCGCATCCAGCCCCGCCCCGCGCGCCCCGAGGTTGAGGCGAGGCGGGGATGGGAGCCACAGAATTTCTGGGCGGGAGTATCCTTCTCTCGGCATCTCGTTTTGAAATAGCCTGCTTGTTTCAGGGGGTCATGTGGCAGTGAAGGACGCTAGGTTTATCTAGAAAAGGGGGATATCATGAAGCCAGAGATTAGAGGTTTAGGTCACGATAGTTAAGTGATTTGAAGGAAACTGTTACTCAAGCTACAGATCTGCGCAGCAGGACTGTCACCCTTCCCTCGCTCGCCTGCACCGCGCCTTTGAGCGGCCCTAGCCTCGCAAGCCGGGTAGAGGCTGCTGCCGGCTCTCGAACGTTCTTTCAGGGAACTCATGCCTGCCCCTTGGGGCTTCCCATCGCCGGTGGTCAAAGGCAAGGATGCCCACTGGACGGCGGGAGTAAAGCAAGGGATGACGGCCGCCCGCTGCCCCGGTTTTCTCAGAGCTCTCTCCTATTTCTTTTGATCCTCTGGGAAAAGGGAAAACTTTGCAAGAAAGGGCTTGTGAAAGAAGGATGGAGAACCCACGTGGCATTCTAGGGGCCTTTTCCTGACATAAAGGAGCTTTAGAAAGTATGGAAAGCATTGTTCCATCGGGTGAGGTAAAAAGACGTGAGGAAAAGCACATTCAGAGGAAGAGACCGAGGGAGGCTGGAGCTGGACGTTGGGCGCTGCGCTCCCCCGCGGCTCCGGGAGGTGTCGCCGCGCCGCCGCCTGCGCGCCCCGCCACTCCGGGAGGCTCGCGCGCCTGCGCCGCAGCCTCCAGGGCTTTTGCCTCTTTAAACACTTTGAAACGCAATTCCATCCGAAAGGACTGGTAGTAACATTTTGACGAAACCTAATCTCTGTTTTACTAACCAGCACCGCCGCAGAACAAGCAGCTGATGCAATCTTTCAGGTGGAGCCGGCCAGGACGGCCGCCCCTCCCCCCGCGGGGCGCTCCTGGAGCCGCCCAGACACGGCCCCGCTAGACCCTCCTAGCGTCAGCAGCCGGGGCAGCTGGCCCACCCGCGAGCTCTCGCCCCTCCAACAGCCCCTCACTCCGCTAAACCGAAACCCGGCCTGGCAGGCCCGCCGCCTCCCCCTCCGGGCTCGCAGCGGGCCCCGCCGAGCCGCGCGCGTCCAGGGCGCCCTACGGAGAGCCGACCTTCCCAGCACCTTGGCCGGGGCGAGGCAGCGGCCGGGCCGTGACGAGGCCCTGTCGGGACAGAAGAGGGGAAGCCCACGGGGCTGGCCCGACCTGGGAAGCCCCGACTGCTTGGCCCTGCCCTGTTCCTCCGCATCCTGCCCAGTCCTGTCTGCCTCGCCCTCCGCCGCGCGTCTGCACCCGCGGTCCAGAGAGGGACAAGTAATCCCCTCCCCTGAGGTCCAGGGATCGGAGGACCGAGGGGCAGTTCCAGTGTCCTCAGTTTCCAACACGCCTCTTTTGAGCTGATCTGACGAATCGATACCCCCTGATTTTGAGAAACTAATATTTTAGAATGAAAATGAGTGAGACGAGGAAGCAGAGACCTGCTCTCCTGGGAAACTCCGGACCCCTAAACCGCGGGCCCCGGTGGCCACTGGCACGCCCGCGCCGCCCATCGCTCCCACCCCTCCGCGCTGCAGGCAGGCAGGCAGGGTCCCCGGGGGGAGGGGGGGGGAGTGGGCATACCCGGTCCTCCGATGTCTCAGGCCGAGGTTGTCCTTGAGGGGCGGACCGTCCGGAATGCCCACCTCGGGGCGGGCGTGGGGACTGTCCAGGACGCCGCCGTAGGGCCGGCTGCCTCGCTCCCGCTCCGGAGCGCCGCGGTCCTCAAAAAGCACGGCGCCGCTGAGCTTGTTGAAGACGATGGTGTTCATGGTGCGGGCTGGCAGGGGCGCGCGGGGCGGCCGCAGCGCCTCGCGGCCAGGCCGCCGGGAGCTCCGCAGGGCTCGGGTTCTAGGAGATGAAGATGCATCACGTTACTCGCTCAGAGTGCTCACAGACCTGCGCGTCCCGAGCCCCGATCTTGGCCCAGGCGCGGGGCTGCGGAGCCCAGGGGAGGAGCGACGCTGCCGCACCTGGACGAGGGAATCCCTGTCTCTCCCCACCTGGCTACACCACTCCCCCCACCCCCCAAGCGCTCCCGGGACAGATTCAGCCCTCCTCCTTGCCCCGGCGATCGAGCCCCTAAGGAACTTCAATCAGGAATCATTTATCCGCAGAGGCAAAGGAAAATAATTCCTAAACAAGCCTTTTTGTCGCGATTTTAATCCGGGAGAAGCACACTCCGGATGGCGCAGCGGGATAGGCGCGGGGCCGCGCGCGGTTCTTCAATCACAACGGAAGACTATAAAGCCTCTTGGAGCTCCCACTTGGGTCTTAAGAAGGGGTTGGAAAGAAGGGAAAATTTGGGGTAGTGAACAACCGCATCCGCAAGCCCCAGTTAATGAGTCCCAGGCCGTACCGAGATTTCGGGGATTTTCATGTTTTCTAGATCCTGGATGGTTTGGCTGAAACCCCTGCGTCCTTATTCCGGCTAAACTCCCTCGGGGTAGGGGTGAGGGCAGAGAAAGTTAGCAGGCTCCAGAGCTAGAAAGTTAAGCGGCGTCAGGGACAAATGCACCACCTTCTCCCCCTCCCCGCCAAATCTTCCTACCATCCCCCAGCCCGCTCCAGGACCCGCAGGGTCCCGGAGGCTCAAAGGCGCCGGAGTCCCGCGCCCCCCTGAGCCGGCAGTCAGGGCTGCCCTCTTCCCCAGCGCGGGTGCGAGCCGCGAGCTCGGAGCCCTTCCACACCCGCCCCTGTCTGGGGTCTCGGGGAACCATTTCAGAGGCTGCAAAGGTGTTGGGGACAGAAGGAGGCATCGCTGTCTGCGCACCGCCGGGCCTGCGGCTGCCACCGTCGGAGAAAGCCTCCAGCTCACCTCCCGGGTCGCGCCGGCCGGGAGCCTCTGCCCGCCGCGCGCGGGCGTCCGGGGCAAGTCCGCGCCGCCGCGGAGCAGCCGAGTTACCGCCCCGAGGCGCGCGGCCGCCCCAGCCCGCCCCATCTGCGCGCCTCGGGGTAGCTCCCGTTTCTTCCCAGCCGCCTCCGCTTTGCTGCCAGCGCCCCCTTCCCCCGCCCTGCCGAGGCGTGGGCTGCCCCCCCCCACCCCATACCCAGATCCTCGCCTCGCCGAGCGCCCACACTCGCCAACGCCCCCCACCCACCCCGCCCTCCGGCCACCACGGCAGCGGCCACGCGCGACATGTAGGGCCGTGACCCCAGCGATTAAACGGCGGTTACCGTCAGTGTTTGTGGGGAGGTGAAGTCAGATTTCTGCTGGCTGCCCCGTGTACCGTAAGACCGAGTCCTCCCGCGCAGACAGGTACGTGTCTGGGTGTGCACACAGCCTCGGCGATAAGTGTGAAAGCAGATTTCCGCGCTTGCAGCCCCCGTTCTCAGGGCAGGACTCGCCTTGTTTTTTTTCTTTTTAAATCAGTGCGCTTAGCGCTTTGCGTTCACGCCGCTCTGTTTGTGTAACACATCATTTCCTAGCCCCACCGTCTCCCCCACCCCCGTCCTCCTATACTACACGCAACGTCTCGCGTTCTTCCTGGCGAATCCATGGCGAGGTTGGCCAGCGCGGACCCTTCCCCGGCTGTCCCAAGCCCACCCAGAGATCGCCTGCAGGCAGCAGGCGCGGTGGGAGGGGGCGGCAAAGGTCCCAGAGCCGGGTCGGGACGCCAGGGGTCAGGGGCGTGTGAACCGCCACTCCGAACCCTCCCCGGGCGCCCACGCGCGGTCCCCAGCGCCTCTTCTCGGCTCCTGTGCTCCCCACTTACCCCGAGTCACTCTAAACCGTCGCTTGGGGAGCTCCCTCCCTGCGGAACTGCCCCGCCCGCTGCGCGGGAACAATTTTAAAGCAAAGGAGGCGCGGCCAGGTGGGCTCCCAGGCTCCTCGCCCACCCTGGGGCCAGCCTCAGTCGCCCCCGGGCGCGTCCCCACCGGACCTCGGAGGGAAGTGGGGGAAGGGCGAGCAGCGAGGAGGCGTCCAGGGTGGAGGGAAGGAGCAGCTCGGGAGCCAGAGGGAGCCTCCCGTCCCGCTGGCCGGACGAGGACGCCGCGACCCGGGGGCTGTACCTGTGTCGGTGGGGCCGGCGGCCGGCGGCAGGGCGGCTGGCTCTCCCGCGTCGAGGCTAGGCGCACTCCCATCCCCGCCGCATGTTCTCCGCGCGGGCTCCAGCGCGCTCACCGCCGCCACCGCCGTCGTTTCGGCTTTATTTACCCAGACGGGCGCGCGCGGCCCGGGAACAGGAATACTGAGGCCTTCTCATGTTTCCTGACTGCCCGGCCCAGCCGGCGAACATCCTGCGGGCGCGGTATCCACGTTCCCGGGCCGGCGGGAGGAAGCCTCCGCGCCCGCCGGGCCGCGGGGACTGCTGTTAACCCTCGCGGAGGAGCTGCCGCCGCGGGCGCCGCCGGAGCCCCCGGCCCACGGAGTCCTCCCGGGCCGGCCCGGCTCCCAGATCCGTGGGCCTCGCAGGCGCGGAGCAAAAGGAGCGATTTCCTTCGCACTTAGCGGAGAAATTGGAGAAGCCGCAAGCAGCGCCCGGCTCGGGCTCTGGGATCTGAGAGGCTGTGGTGCAAATCCCGTGTCTTAGCTGGCCCGGGTGTCGGAAATTTCACCGCGAGTGGCTAGGCAGGAGAGACCACTACAACGCGCCTGTTATTTTCCTCGCGATTAGCCGGAGTGAAGTTAGAGCTTGGGTGTGCGCCTATAACGCGCGAGCATTTTACAAGGAGGTGCCTGTGACCTAGGAGTCTCTCTTCTGGTGTCGCTGGGCTTCCTAGGTCCTGGCTGTCTCAAAGCCAGCCCCACATTCACCTTCCTGGGCCAGCGCTGGAGAGGGTGCGCTCGCCACCAGACACACGGGTGGAGGGAGGCAAGACTGGGGCGAGGGGAGCCCAGGTGCCCAACCCAAAGTGACCCAGGTGTGGAGGAGACGGAGTCCAGGGCCAGGGATCTGCACAAAGCAAAGGGAATGGAACCTGGAAGAATTCCAATCGGGGACACAGTGCGAGGAGAGAGAGTGCCTATCAGATTCTATTATTGATGATGCTTGGCTTCCCACCATCACCCCAAATATAGGAGTAGTGAAAACTGTGATTTGGGTGCAACTGGAAGCACAGAGCTTCCGGCAGCCAGAAGATCCTTAAGGCGCGGAGCACCGAGACGCCCGCGTTCTCGCCGCGGTCCTTGCTGCCGCAGCGACACCTTTTATCTGTTTTTAAGAGCGAAAGTAGATTCCCCAAACCTGAAAGTTGTAGTGTCATTTGTCCTTTTCTCCCCTAAAGGGGGCTGGCCAGGGTTGAGGCAGTGACTCGCCTAAGCATCTTCCTTTTCTGTGGCCTGGAAATGGTTAAAATAAATACTAGAGCTATTATTTCCAAGACTAATCAGTCTCCTGAATTTTCCATTATGTTATCTTCCAAAATACGTGACAACAAACCCGGCAGTGGCACAATCTGAAGGAGAAAGGGACGAAGGTTTACGTTTTTGCGCATCAGGCAGATAAATATTATCATTTGATCACGTTTCCCGGTGTCCTTGGTTCTCTTTTATTATGTAACTTGCGGTGGCCGCGCTCGCATCCTGCGCTTGCCGTGCCCTTGACTTGCTGTAGTGCATGTGGGGTTCAGTGCAGACCTGGGTCCACGGACCTCCCGGCAGGGAGTTAGGGTCTGGGATACGCCATAAAGTTTCAGCCACAGACTTGCAGCGAATGTTTCACAACAAAAGCACATCAAATTGAAAATTTATAGGAGGAAAGAGGCTGGTTCTCTTCTGTGGTCTCTCTGACTGCTGGTGGTCACCAGGCGTAAGGAAGTCAGCTGTAACACGCCCCTCTGACATATATTTCGGTCAGCTGTCGTAGGTAAAACAACAGGCATGTGTGTCCTTGCTTGCCATTTCAAAATACCCTACTGATTTATCCAGCTGTATGCGGTAATACAGGCTAATAGAGGACAAATGAATTTTGTTGTTTTAGTCTGAACTGTATTTACACAATTTTAAAATGCATTTAGAGGACTTTAAGGTATATTTACGTATAAGATTTGCTTCTTAAAATCTGATATAAAATATACAGCAAAAAATCTTTCTACAAAATGTTTTTTATGTGGTATAGGAATAATATACACCTTAGTCTCAGGCTAAGTCACTGAAAAATTAACATGTGATAATTCCTTTAGACTATAGTTTAGTAATTAGAATCCGCTTAAAAGTGAAAGAGCGATGGAGGATTCATTTTTAAATGAAATAGTGTGGGGAATCCCTTTCTAATAGACAAATGAACATGTATTTTGTGATAGACCAAAATTTTATTTTTGCAAGCTTCATCCTCTGTGCAAGAGTGAAATTTCTTTTTCATTTTAACTCAGTTCAGATACATTTGACATTTTATTCAATTTCACCTTTTTCTAAGATGAATTTCGCTTAGCTTCCTATGCTGTATTCCAATTTCAGTATATGAAATGCTGTACGATAATTCTCAGAAGTAAGGCTTTCAGTTTAGAAAGCACTATGAGAAGATTTAAGAAAGTCTAGTTTGTGGCAGATGGCCATATGTAAGGAAAAAACCAAAACAAAACATGGGCCAGAGATCAGAAGACTTGAGCCCTAATCTTTATTCTGGTTAATTTGATGTTGATTTAGCTTGAATTTATTACAGTGTAAAATGAAGATGCTAAGTTTTCCACACACTTGCCTTACACTATTATTAAGATATTTTTTAAAATGTGGAAGTAACTTATTGCTATTGCTAAAGGTAGAAAAATTTCAAGTAAGGTTTGGCAGAAATCTTAATCCATTCTATTGGATTTAGAGTCTAGTTATAAATATAAGTAATTTTTACTCTCTAATAAACTAAAAAAGATGCCTTCATTTTTAGCATTTTGATATTTTACCAAGGAACCTGACATTTCAGAATAAATATTGGTCAAAGTTTTTGAAAATAATGATTGCTTTTAAACTGTCTTTTCCAGTTATTACTTAGGCAATGAAATAAATTATAAAGCTAAGGAATGCCTGTTACTTCCCGTCCAAATGGTATAAAATAGTAAATTTACGAACAATTAGCAGGTTCACCTGACACTGGGCCAGTTTGAGTTGTAGAGATACATACTGGAGTGCCTAGGTGGAACAGCATGAGAAATGGTGACACATACAGTTGCAGAAACATTGTGAGCAAATTAGTAGCAAATATCTCACATGGCGTTTTCGCTTTGCTCATAATTTAACCTTAATTACATAAATAACCCTTTATCTCAGAGAGTGTCTTCTCCATAAATTCATTCTCAAACAAAGAACAGAGTACAAGTGAGAGTTCCTCTTCAGCCAGCCCCCCCAATCACCTTCAGAGACAACCCCCAAGGGGTGGCCACTGCTGGTTTGATGTGCATCTTCCTGACCTTTCTCTAGGCATTCACAGACACAAGTACAAACAAAACACAGTTTTGTTTTATGAGATTTTTGAATAAGTGAGAGCATCCTTTATATGTTACATGCACAACTATAAATGTAACTCCTTCTTTTTAACTGTTACCTAATGTTCCACAATCCATTTAGCCTTTCCCCATGAACGTTCCCATCTTTCCAATTTTCACTATTATGAACAGTAAGCACCCTTGTATATGATTCTGTCTGCACATGTGTAAGTATTTCTCTAGGAAGAGCTACACGGAAGTAGAATTGCTGGGTTGAAGGAAACATGATTTTTAAATTTTGATAGATACTTCCAAATTTCCCTGCAACCTACAGCCTCACCAACACATGAACGTCCCCATTTCCTCACATGCTATGCAGAATTGCATATATTTGGTCTTCATGACATTTGTCTGTATGATGAGTAAAATCATGTCTCATTGTTTGAGAACGTTTTCATTTATTTAGAAGCCATTTGTATTTCTTAATTGAAGAAATTTGCTTATATCCATTGCTTACATCCTTATTAATTTATAAAGGTTCTTTATGTCATTTTTTTCCTATGATACATATGCTTTATATATTACAGATATGTTACCTGATCTGAAGTCTGCCTTTTACCTATTTTGTCCTTTGTCTTATAGAAAGTTTAAACATGAATATAGGTCAATAGGTCTGACCTATATGGATTTTCTTTATGGATTCTGGGCTTTGTGTCTTCCTTACAAAGGGTTTTTCTATATTTTCTTCTAATACTTTAAAAAATTGTTTTCACTTGGCTCTTTAATCCTTCTGGAATTAATTTGTATATGTTGTGAGGTAGAAATCTAATTTGCTATTTTTCTTCTTCAATTGAATGGCCAATTATGCCTATGGTATTTATTAAAGAGTTTTCTCCCATTGATTTGAAATAACTTTTCTCATATATGTGGTGAATTCCTTTCCATATGTAGGTTGCTCTAACAAGCCTTTGAAAGATGTTACAAAACACCCAATAGATGGTAGTAAATTTAATCTTCAAATTTTTAAGACCATCTTGCACTCCGAAGACTTCCAAAGTTATTCTGTTTCTAATTTCAGAACATGTCTAGCATCGAAATACTTGGCTGTGGTTCTAATTTAGAAGGCTAATTCAGTACCGTCCTAGGGTGAGGTTGCCGTTTATAGCCGAGGTCCTGCTCAGAAACAGGAGAGCAGTTTCAGGCAGCCATCTTCTCCAGAGTGGCGGATGGTTGCACAGAGCTTTTCAAACACATCACATAATGCAGTGATAACCAACCATGAGCAATATAAGATTTTTTATAAAAGTGATTCGTCCCTGCATCGATGATTTGAAAAAGTGAAACGCATCTTTCTTCTTGCTCAATTCTTTGTGGAATGTGAATTAATATTTTTCACAAAGCAACTAGTCAAGATGAGAACCTTCGAAATGATTGTCTATTAGTCAAATTCACTTTGCACAAAAATGCAAATACTTTGTCACTGCAATTTCTGCACTACGTATAAATACAGAAAGTATAAATAATAAGTAGTCAATAGAGCTGAGATCCAGGTGGATTAATGTCTTGTTCTACTTCACAGAGCTTGAGACAGGACCTGAAGTAACCATGGGATCACAACACCCCATCTTTTTCCTTGATACCAAAATATCTTCAGTAACTTACCAACAATCACCAAGCATCTACCTCATCACGTGCATGAAAATACTCTGTATCCTGGGATTCTGAGGGGAGCCTGGAGAACATTTCATCCTTAAAATGTGCATTGAAATACTACAGTCTCTTCTAGAAGATTATTCCAGTTTGAAAATCAGTTTGCTTTCCCATAAAATTGTGGCCTTTTTAATAAATATAGCGAAGACTTTTGACCATAGGCTACTATGACTCTCTGTATTTGGCACTCAATAGACTTCAGGTACTCAGTAGATTTTTGAGATTTAATTACTCTGTGTACTTCATGCTGTGTCAAGATTTTGGTTGACTTCCGCTTCCCCACACCCATACTCCCTGCTTCGTCTGTGTGTAGGATATTTGACTAAGCTCATCAAAGGAATGCGGGTGAGCAAAAGTGATATGTGCGACTTCTGCTTAACATGCTTAAAAAGAAATTGGCTGCCCTCCTCTTTAACTCGTCTCTGTTACCAAGGGCTAGAACACAGAGGTGGCAAGGGCCCACCTAAAGAACAGCAGAGCCACAAGATGACAGAAATCTGGGGCCCTGAATGGACTACAGGAGTGAGAGCTCCCTGGCCTGGGCTCCGCAAATGTTTTCCGTAAAGGGCCAGATAGTATATATCTTAGGCTTTGTGGGGCATGTGGTCTCTGTTGCAATTACTCAACTCTGCCATTGTAGTGAAAAAACCATAGATAGTGACTATGAATGAATACTTGACTTCAATGAATGAATATTTTATGAATGAATCAATGAATGAGTGTTGCTATGTTCCAATAAAACTTTATTTAATGGACATTGAAGATTGAATTTTATATCATTTTCCTATGCCACAGAATATTATTCTTCCTTTGATTTTTTTCAGCCATTTAATGATGTAAAAATTATTCTTGCCTCAGAAACAGAAACAGCAGGCTAGATTCAACCTGAGGCTGTTTGCTGGCTCTGGACTAGACTATTGAGCTCTGGACTGTTATGGGAGACAATCTTCTCCTTCTTTAAGTCACTGTATTTTGGGGTTTCCTGGCTGAAGGAAACCTGTACCCTATATAATGCACACCTGTACAAAGATGATCCTAATTACCACGGGTACACTTAAGAAAAGTGCTTTTTAGATGACTAGAGTCTGCCAAAACCAGGATGAACTGGAAAGGAGAAGGAATGAATAGTGCTTTCTCCCCTCTCCTCCTGAGAATGGTGCATGTGTTCAGAGAATCAGCCTAATTATTTTTACAATATCTTTTGAGCCTATGTTCTTTTTTATTTTAACCGTTGTTTTTTAAAACTATTATTATACTTTTAGGCACAGTATTGGTGTTTGAGTTTTGATGCTTATGAATTTTATAGTCATGGAAAATAGTGATTAATTTTTAAAGATTACTATTTTCTGGCTCACTCCTTCCCCCATGCCAAAAAAAAAAAAAAAACCCTGCACAATTTGAACTATCTTTTCATTGTTTTGTTTTTTAATAATCAACAATAAATATTTACGGGGCACCTGCATGCAAAATCCTGTGCCAGGAACTGCATTGAATTTGATTTAAAAGACATGATCCTTACTTAGCTTACAAACCTGTTAAGCAAGCACAGGGAAACAAACACACCTCATCTAAAAAGTTTTAGAGTGTCTGATATAAAGATTGCTTGAGTGCAGTAAATGTGTAAATCATCTGTAGAAATGCATGAGGGAACTTGAAGACGATAGAAGAGCCATTTTATGTGTCTGCTAAAAATTTTGTAACCATATTACCGACATCCTTCCTGAAAACATGCAAAAAGAGATCATTATTTCAGAAATTTGAGCCTGATTGAAAAACAGCATTTTCACCTCTTACATCAGACTTTTTCAAGTTTTATGCCAAAAGCCTCTGGGTTTCAAGGGAGATTTTTAGGGCTTCCGTCAAAAAAAAAATACGGTAAGAGTAAACACACTGGGGTTACCGCATGACCTTTCTTTCCTCCTCCCCCCCCCCCCGTCCAGGCCTTCCTCGAACCCGCCTCAGGTCCTCCGCTTTTACACTTTTTTAGAAAAGTTTTGGAGGGAGAAGGGGATTGGAGGAGAGGAATTGTTGTGAATAAACTTGTCATGTGTGGCACTGAAGTAATTCTCAAGGCTCACCCAGAGAAGCCCTCACCTCTCCCAGCATGAGGAGAATCATCCTTGTCCAGCTATCTGGGCCACAGAGCCACAGGCACGCAGCTGTGGGAAGGGAGTGGTCAGATCTGCACCTAGGACGACACAGGGATCCCAAGTAATTAGCCATCTTTTTGTTTTGACAGTCACTGATCTTTGTGAAGTGTGCTTTGATGTTGTAGACCACCACAAATCCTGTTTAGAAGGGAGTTTGGCCTACAAGAAAGAGAAAAGGAAACAGGTGTCGCGACAATTAATTATGCAATTTAAATAGCCCAAAGTCGAGGATAAAGGGAGCTTTGAAATATCCAAATGTTGCAATTTTTTTCTTTGACCTGCTGTAGCAGTCAGCTTAAGACATTTGTCCTGATAGTGCTCTTATAAATGAGGACAAAATTAGGGATATTTAAAAAATTTGCATAATATACACCCAGCACTTCCTACATGTCCATCCGCTATTCTAGGCACTTAACCCATGTAATTCTCACAGCTGCCCTTTGGGATAAGTAGCCATTAGTACCTATTTTGTAGACAGGACACCTAGGCATAGAATTGCCCTAAGTCGCAAGTTGAAAACTGGTGGAGCCAGGATTTGCACCCAGTCAGGCAGGTACCACAGCTTGTGCCCTGAATCAAACTACGTTGCTTCTTTGAAGTGTGAAAATTAGTAAAGGGAAACCCCATTTAAAATAGAGTCAGGAGGCCAGAAGGGGGAGCTCCCACACAGTACCACTCAAGGTAAGATAGTCAATTACAGACCTCAACAAAAGTCAACAACAACAAAGATGTCAATTACAGAAAGAAGTGTACATTGCATCCCAAACAGAAACGACTACTCCAGAACTCAATCAATGAGAAGCCATGACCGCTCTGAACTCTTGCTTTTCCCCAATGGACTTTTGTTCAAAACAACCCCTCCCTATTTCTTCTTTTTTGTCTATAAAATAATGTTCCTCTCCCTTCTTTGTTGGATTTGCCTGTGATCTGCCATAGCATGCGCATCCCAAATTGTAATTCTTTTTGACTATTCCTGAATAAACTCATTTTGCTGATAAAATAACTGGCTGTTTTATTTTTAAGATTGACATATATGTGTCAGAAGTGGGATCCAAAGAAGACACCTGAGAGAAGACAACCCCCGGAACCAAGTGAGGTACCTACACTGAGCCCCTTGTGCTCATCGCTTCCGTGAGTTGCTGCCTACTTTTGGTTTGGTTAGCCTCCTGTCCAATTTTGAGCTCTACTTCCTTTGCATTCTGACCTCCTCAACTTTATTCCAGATGAGAGAGGCTTTGTCCTCTTGGGGGAGCGACTTTGTCCTCCTGGTTTAAGGCTGTGTCCTTGGGTTCAAGGCATCATCCTTGGTGAGAATTTGGTTGTTTCCTGAAGGTAGCACAGTTCCTTTTGCGGCTCAGGCTTGCTGAAAATCCAGGAGTGTTCTTTGGTTTTCAGTTTGCTTTTGGAATCAGGGCTAGAAATCCAGCAACTTTCTTTTGTTTTTAGATTCCTTCAGGGATCAGGGCTAGGAATCTAGCAACTTTCTTGGGTTTTCAAAGGATATTTCATAAATGGGATCCCAGTCATCTAAATGTTCTGAGGGAAACCCTCCTTTAGGACTCTGGCTGGGTTTATATTTGAGAACTTTGGGCCCTCTACATGCGCATTTTAACTAAGTGTGCCAAAGTGACCAAGAGTAGTCCAGAATTACAATGGCTGTTACAGGGAACTTTTGATCTCCCCAAATTCATTTTCCTTAAAACAAAATTGGAAGACTACAGCTTTAAAATTAAGCAAAACAAATGGTATGTTTATTTTAATTGGTACCTGGAGGCTTATAAACGTGCACAAAACTCTAAAATCAGCTCACTACAAGATACCGTATCTAAATTAGCTGAAACGACTGAAAAACTGAGGGAAGACAAAATGGTTTCCGAGGCCTCTCTTTCTTTTTCCCCGTTTTTCTCTGCCTTATGCTCAAGCCTCACCTCGAGTGCCATCTTTCTACTTTTCTGCACCATCTCTAGTGCTGAAACTTTGGCTATTTGAGAAAGTAACTTTAACTTAGCTCATCTGCCGGAAACATAATTTGAATTCAACTATTCCTTTGAACTTTGTACCTGAGACATGGCTGAAATTTTTAAAACAAAAGCTGTAAGGTCTCTGTGTCTGTCTATATGTTATATATGTCTATGTTTGTATGTGATATTTTTCTACCTTTGGATGGTATTGCTAAGATTGATCTATAAAAGAGCTTTATGTATTTGGCTTGAAATTAAATGCTTATAAATTAAATATTCCTAAACCTCAGATATATAACCAAAACTAACCCAAATGTTTTCAAGTTGATGTGATCTAGGATTAAACTATAGTAAATGAAAGCTGGCTTTAGGTTGTTGGTTTAATTGAAAAAGACATGTCTTTAAAGTTATCAATGCTGAATATAATGCAGACATACAGCTTTCATTCTACCAGAGTTTATTAAGCTCATGTTATCTCTATTACAAACTTTGTCAGCAAGAAAGTAACTTAAGATGATGGTTGGCTACTTAATGTCAAATCCAAGCGATTGTTAAAAGCAAGTAATTTAAATAAATGTAAATAAGATCAAAGTTTATACTAAGTTAAACTAAATAATGGACAGTCATTGAATATCTAAATCATTTCCAAATGAGACGAACATTGATTACTGAACATAGTTTTATTTACTTTTGGTTTCCTATTGTAGAGCAACTAAAGCTATTTGAGTCTATTAGGAACACATTTTATGCCATGCTGAGAAATTTTCTATGAAAAAAAGGCACATGTTTCTAGAAATTTAGAAGAGGTATTTGTAAGTTTGCCAAGCGGAAAAATGCTAATATAGTTCACAATTGCTTACTTCTTAGTTTTTCACTAGGAATTAAAGATTCTAAGGGATAAGAATTCTGATCAATATATGTAACAATAAGGGAAACATCTGTGTATGCTAGGAAAGTAGGATGTGTGATTCAATAAAAGAAGGTATGAGGAATGGAAATGCATTCTGTTGAGAGAAAAGAAAGTGGTTGAGGAGAGGCTGGTTATTATGGAATGGGAAAGACGAAAACATAGGACAAAATATAAGTGTAAAAAGTTGTAGAAGGTTTGTGGAAAGGAATCTTGGGAAAGGAATTTTAATACGTGGTCAAGCTGGCTAAGATTAAGATGAATTTATTGAAATGAGTTTTAATACCGAAATAAGCTGATGCAAAATTAAAATTTGGCTTGCTTTTCTGTAAAGGACAGGTTTTCATGGGTTATTGGTCTGCTTTTGATAACAGATTATGAGATCTTCTTTACCTTTAAATAATATGCCAAGAAAACAGAGATTTTGTATTTTATCAAAATAATTTCCTGTGTTTCTATCAGGCTCTTAATTACTTAACAGAACTGAGTCTTCTTAGTATTAAAGGAGTTAAGTTTTGCTTACAACCATGTAAGCATTTATATTTGCTTTTAAACATTTTATTTTTACTTTGGTCAGATAGATACTTAGTATTATTTCATAACGATCTGTGATCCTATTTGGTAGTGTCCAAACATTTTGATATTTTTGACAAGCTTCCCAAAATATTAAATTCTAAATGAAGTCTTTTCAACCTGGATGTAACTTTCAAATTTTCCAGAGGGCTCCTGGGGCATCTCAAGAGATTTGTTCCCTTTCATTATAAAAAGAGTGATATTAGGGGGCTGGCCCCGTGGCCGAGTGGTTAAGTTCGCGCGCTCCGCTGCGGGCGGCCCAGTGTGTCGTTGGTTCGTGTCCTGGGCGTGGACATGGCACTGCTCGTCAGGCCACGCTGAGGCGGCGTCCCGCATGCCACAACTAGAGGGACCCACAACGAAGAATATACAACTGTGTACTGGGGGGCTTTGGGGAGAAAAAGGAAAAAAATAAAATCTTTAAAAAAAAAAAAAGAGTGATATTACACTAATTAGGCTTATTTGGTATGTCAAATTACATGAGAAGCACAGTTGAGTAAGTACTGATAAACCTTTTCAGGTTATATTGTATGGGTGAATGTTACTAAAAAGTGCTCTAGAAATTGTATAAAATTCCTAAACATGTGATATGTCCTAATATAATGTTATTACTTGTAATTCTAGTTGCTATCTAAAATGTATGTTACAAAAATACCCAAATTTCCTTGTTAATTGCATATACCCATTGCCTGTTTAAAAAGTCCTCTGTCAGTTACAGACAGTGATTGTTTTACTCTGATGCTGTTACAAATATGTTGCATTTTCAAAGAGATACATGGAAAAGACTTTGACAAGTACTCTGGAATCCAGGTTTTGATAACTTTAAGATCCCGTAACCTTGAACCGGGCAGGAATTTCTGAAACTCTAGTGGTGGACTGATTGCTTTGATGCTTGGTTTTCCAGATGTAAAGGACCCCTTTTTCTCCTCTCCTTTAAGCTATCTTTAACTTACAGCAATGCAGTAAAGTGTATCTTTGCAATAGGGGTTGAAATATTTATCTTTTTCTCTTTACCTGATCCCTCCAAAATTCAGAAACTCTTTAAGTGTTCTTTTCATGACGCCATATGTATTTTCATGGGTTCAGTGAAAATCTGTTCTCCTTGTAACAGGACACAATTGGAAATATTGGCTACATTACCAAGGCTTTGACTAGAGTGTCATATTCAAGAAAGATGTACATAGACTAAGAAATGAGCAGATAGATTTAAGGAATTGCTTGGAAAAATTGGCCTCTTTAAATAATCAGTTGAAGTTCAATACAAACAAATTAGATTTACTATGATTATCTTTAATAAAAATGAGATTATTGTGGAGAGAAAAATTATGTTTTCACCTTTGTAGATAATGAATTCTAGTCGTATTAATTGTCTTTAGGGTTTTGTTAAATACCTGTAAGCCAGACTGGATCCTAAATTCTAGTTTACTTAAATGTCTGGCTATGATACTCCAAACTTTTACTGCCCTTGAAATGTTTTTGAAAGGGAATATACTACGCCCTCCTCACCTCCCAGATGCAGCCAAACTTCAGGATCTTGAGCCTTGGGTACATACCTCACAGCTGAAGAAGGCTTTACCTGACATCTAGTCCTGTACGCACACTGGGGGCCTCCAAATCAAATGGACCAGGAAGAGAAGCAGCTGACATCTGAGGTGGACAGCTTGCCCAAGATGTCCAGACCAGGCCTGTGTGCTTTTCTTTCACTGCTATCTCTCACTTTGTTTCCTCCCTCCCTTCTATGGAAGGATAACACCCGTGTCTGTATTTCTTAATCCTTCACAAAAGGAGGAAACCTCTCTGATTGCTGGATTTACCATCAGAAACCTCAATCCGTTCAAGACAATAATGACCCCTTAGATTACCCTATAAGTAATTTCACTGGAATTCCAGATGCCATTGTATGTTTAAATTGTTCTGCAGGCTCATTTTATAAAGTCAGTGTACTAAGCCCATCTAATTTTGTTTCTTGCCTTTATTTAACCCAACATTCTATGGGATAGCCAGTGTATATCGGATCATTTGTACACTCTCTGATATACCCATATATTTAGGCAACCTCCTGATAAGTAACGACATAATGCGTGAGTCTTGGTTAAGTAGTGCTAATGCCTCTGTGAAGTGAATGAGTTCATAAATACTGATACTTATGCAGGAGCTTTATGTACACTCTCTGGTTACATTTTCATATGTGGAGGCTTGGACGATAGCCTTCATGCTTGGGCATTTCATTGCTTTGATACCCAGAGAGTACGAGGACAGCGTGTCCTTGCCCTGTTCTCCCTGAATAACCAGTCTGAAGCCTTTCATCGGTCAATTCCGCTAACTTCCTGTAATCGCCTCAAACAAAAGCTTCTAGGGCCATGCATGATTCTGGGCTTGCCTCCTTGGGAGAGCTTTCTTTCCATGGATTGGGGTAAGTGCCAATGAACAAATGATCAGGGATCTCTCTCTAACATTAGAACAGTTGGCCAATTCCACAGCTAAAGCAGCTGTAACCCAACAACAGTCACTTAACTCATGGGCCAGAATAGTTTTATATAACCATAACAGCTCTTGATTACCCACTTGCTGAGCAGGGAGGTATCTGTGCAGTAACAAATACCTCCTGTTGCACATGAATAAACACCCCTGGGGAAGTAGAGATCCAATTACCTAGAATTAAGGAGCAAGCACATTGGCTGCAACAAATTTCACCCAATAGCCCACTCTCTTTTGATTTATTCAGCTGGTTACCCTCAGGTCTGGGCTCCTGGTTTAGAACTATAATACAAACAGGGCGTGTTGTATTGTTTTTAATCCTGCTTTGTATACTTGTTGTTGAACTCTGTACCTATTGCCTGTCAAACCTTTGTAAACATGACTTTTGTAATAAGGTGATGTTAGCTCAACAATTTGAGATGATTTCTGATGCTTATGACCTTGGACAGTTATACACTTTGAATAAGGGATGCCTGAGAGTTCTCCCTCCTAACCTTCCTTGTTATTCAAATATGGCCTAAATGGTTTCCAGACACTGTACCATTTCCCTCCAACGTGGGATGTGACAACCAGGAAAGGTCCTTCCAGGCACCTAGGGACAAAACTACAACGTGCAGAGAACCTGACTCTTGATCACTGATGCTTTTGGAGAAAGATCTTGATCAAAAGGGGAAAATGTGGAAATTAATAAAGGGAAACCTCATTTAAAATGGAGTCAAGAGCCCAAAGGGGAAGCTCTCATGCCGTACCACTCAAGGTCAATTACAGGAAAGATGGTCAATTACAGGAAAGATAGTCAATTACAGACCACAACAGAAGTCACCAACAGGAAAGAATCATCAGTCGCAGGAAGAGTACATTACATGCCAAACAGAAATTGACTACCTCAGCAACTCAGCCAATGAGAAGCCATCACCATCCTGAACTCTTGCTTTTTTCCAAGGGACTTTCGTTCAAAACAATTGCTCCTTTTTCTCTATAAAATAACCGTCCTCTCCCTTGTTTGTTGGATTTTCCTATGGTCAACCATAGCATACACATCCTGAATTGCAATTCTTTGACTATTCTCAAATAAATTTGTTTTTCTGGTAAAATAGCCATTTTATTTTAAAGGTTGACAAAGTACAAAGGAAGGATAGAGAGAAAGAACTTTAAATAACTGTAGGCTCAGCTAAATATGTAGTTGCACACCTGTTGGCTCCTTACTTAGCAGGAATTCAATGCCAGTGTGTTCATTTTTCTTTCTGTATGTAACGTTTTTCCTAGGTGAGGAGCAAGTGGCATCTCAGTGTCACCTGGAATAGATGAGTCTGCACAGCTTTGTCATCATGGTAAAAAGGTATACTTCATGTTAATCTTCATATATGAACTCACACTCAAAAGCCAATAACTGCTGAATCTTCTGAAGGTTCTCTAAATCTGGAGAACATCCTTCCCACTTGGCAGTGAAGTTGTTTAGCAATGAAAAGCAAATGCTTTAGAATAGACCAGCAATCTGGAATCATTGCTTTATTTTAGAAGTAGACACAGCATGACTGTAAGTGGCATATCTTGAGTGGGGTGAAAACCAGTAACTTTGATTGAAAAGCCTAAGGAGATGATAGTGGCCCTACAACTTCATGATCCTCTTCTTGCTGTTTTGTGTCTGTTTTGTTTTGTTTTTGTTTGTTACAATTGTCAAGCCTGCCTGTAATATTTGTGTAGCCCAAGGCAAGAGTACAAATGAGCACCCACGTACCATATGTCTAAATATTTAAAAGTTATAAATCAGCTAAAACATTGTTAAATAAAATATGTCCCATCCTGTACCTTGATGAATATACCATCATAATGAAAAATTGAAAACTATGTGAAGTTATGATTTTTGTTGGGAAAATATGAAAGACGAGTTAGTTTAATTGTTATTGCACATGTCTGGATGTTTTGTTGTTGGGCTGGCAATGTTTAGATGAGTAATAAAATTAAGAGACATAATTCATAATTTATTCTGTATTTATTCTATTAAATTTATTTTTCTTGTCTTCATTTCAACAAAAATCACTAATTGTGTTATTATAATTAACATAATTTGTGTTCTGAAGGATTTTAAATAAAATTTAATTCTACATTTTAAAAGTAGTGTCTAAAATTTGAATATATTTTCATCAAGAATGCACATTAAAATAGATATAGAAAAATTTAAGCTTAAATTTATTTTAATACATATTATTTATGAAGTGCTATTTTTATTCTAAAATACTCAAATTATACATAAAATTAAAATAGAAAAGAAAAATTTTGATTAATCAATATAAGATTTTATATAAAGTTGAAATTTTATTTAATTTTTTTGAAAATTAATTTAAAATGTTTTATATAAATGAAATTATTTGCAATGCTATTGTTCAAATCATATTGAACAATGATGGTTGTTAATGTAAAGTGCTGGTATGAGATCTCACGAATGATTTGTCTAGATCTGCATACCAACTTTGGAGTGATATGAATTGCTTAATATTGCAAAATGTTCTTTTGCTGCCAGGTGCAACTATTGCAAAGATTCCCTAAATACTGGACGTGCAGAATCATGTGGTGGAGAAGCAAGAGCATGACGCCAGGCACTTCTGAGAAACAATACTGCAGGAGGAAAAGCTATATTGCATTCACAGGATCTGCTGAGTTGATTAATTTATCTTTTCTCCGTGCTCTTGGTAGCAGTGTTCACCTCCAGTGCTCTTAGCAGCACATCCCAAACCTTTGCAGCATTTGGGTGTGATCACATTTTACTGTGAGGACACACGGCAAACAGTGTGTAGAAGCATTTCTATGGGCCCTGAATGGTGTTAGTCAGAGGAGCAGATGTTTGGGTTTGGAGTTGCGTTGTGTCCTGTTGAGTGATAAATCCCCAATGACAGAGGTACCATGTGTTCTTTAATACATTTACGTCTGTGTGTGTGTGTGTGTGTGTGTGTGTGATGTAGGTCCTTTGAAAGAGGGGTTCAGGACAGTGGCTCTTTGCCTGGGTCTAAAGGTAGTGCTAGTTGTTGGGAGTGCTTTTAGAATTTTATTTATTTATTTACTTACCTATTCTAAAGAATGTATTAAACTTGGGCCCTCTGATGAATCAGAATGAAATCACACTTATCAAAGCTTTTCCATGAGTTTATCCTCTGATGATCCTCCAATGATGAACCCATACCACAACACCTGAAGTTGCAGAAAGCAGGGTCATTTTTAAAGTCCTTCCAGGGCAACAAGGGCCGTTATTCCAGAGTCATCTTTTAGGAAATAACATCTTCACTGAGTGTCAGAGGTTTATACACCTGGATGAGGTCAGTTTTGCAAAGTCTTTCCCTCAAGATTAACGAGGAGGCAGCTGATTATGGGCACTGCCTATGACATATGGCTACCACTTAAATGCCTTATTCACGGGCACTTGTGGTCGCCACAGAATGCTTTTTATCTCCTTCAAAGCTGTGTTTTTTAACACGTAGTCTAGGAACCACCTTCAGCAGTGGCACTTGTTAAAAATGCAGGTTCCAGATCCTGACTGTAGAAGCTCAAAGTCAGGTTTTATGGGCTTAGGACCTACGGTGATGCTGACACAGATGCTTCTCAAACCATACTTTGAGAAAAACTGGCCTAGAACAATGATCCTTAAGCTTTTTTTTATTATACAGCTTTATCAGTAAAAATATTTTGGGCAAGTGACTCTAATATATAATCATTTATTTGTAAGTGGTATATGTGTATTATTCCACTAATATATCATGTAAATTGTAAAACACACAGCAACACAGTTTTTTAAAAGGCAAAGAGGAAACAATATTTTAATAGAATTTTGTTTCATCTCTCAATGAAACAAAAATATTTTTTGCTCCTACTAAAATATCATTGTTAATAAATAAGTAATATTAGTACCAACAAGGCTATTTTTAGTGAAAGCAATGTAATTTAAATTGCTTCATACTTTTAAAAAATCTTGATTAAATAATGATTTAAAGATTGGCACTCAAGTTCAGGTTAATTAGAGACTTGTTTCTAATGTCATCTCTGAAAGATATACTTCAGGAAAAGACATATTCACACAGAAGAGGTGGATTTCTGACTATTTGCTACTTGTTTTCAGCCCCATCCACCAATTATACATTTGGTTGAAATTATGCTTGTAACCTTGGTGTCAATCAGTCCTTGCAAATTAATCACAAAGTGTTACATTTTCATTTTTAAAAAATGACTTTAATAATTCACTGAAACTCTGAGAGATTTAAAAACAAATTTGAAAATTCTGTTTCCAAGTTTTTAAAGTGTGATAAACATTTCAATAGGCAATACGGGTCATTTTCAGGAACAAAATCACAGAATGATGGGAGCGTTTCTAAATCATGAGTGTCCTTCGGAAAGCAATTACTTTCTGAATCATTGTTAAATGTCGTCTTTACCTGAAGGGGGCAGATGAAGAGTGTTTTATGCTTTTTGTTTTTAAATAAGTGTCAGGTAGATTCCCGTTGAAAGTGACATCCTCGAGAAGATGAACAAGTGATGACAGCTTAAGGTTAAAGTTTAGAAGATAGAAAAGAAAATCATGAGACAGCCAAGAAAAGGGAAAAGGCTAGATAATGAGAGGCCTGTATTTTATGCCCACTGCTTTCATTTTTATCCTGTAAGAATGGAGCAATCCTAAATGCCAATCATGGACATCACTGATCTACTGTGGGAGGGGGCACGAGGCCCCTAAGTGACTCTCAGCCCTAAGAGACTGGGTGGATAGTGGAATCCTTCACTATGAGAGAAAATAATGACAGTAACAAATTATGTTACAGTAATAATAACGGTAGCAATTATGGTGCTCTTAGGTGCCAGACACTGTTCTAGAGTTTTTGTATGTATCATTTCATTTAATAGTCATACCAATGTCCTAAGCGCAGTCTGAGTATCAGCCTTTTACCATGAAGAATCTGAGCTCGAGGTCATACAGCTACTAAGTAATGGAGGCAGGAGCCCAGCAAGTCTAGGGGATGGCAATGACTGCATATGTATATGTGCCTTGAGAAAGCTAGAAAATAAGATCAGCGAAAATATGAAAATAAAAACAGTATTCCTACTGCTGGAGATTATCTTTATTATCTTTTTGATTATGCTTTCAGGTACTTTATACAGGTATGCATTTCTACTAAAATGAGATAATACTTTGCAAGTAGTTTTGCATCCATCCTGATTTTCTAAGTTAATGATCTTTACCTTTATAAGTCAAAATTTTTATCTTATCTAGTAGTCTTATCCATATTCAGATTTCCTCAATAATCCCCAAAATACCCTTTAGAGCTATTCTGCCCAAACTAGAGTCTAGTCCAGCCCACACATTGAACCTAGCTGCTATGTCTCTCAGTTCTTTTTTATTCTAGCACCATCCCTAATTTTTTTCCCGTTACGTACTGACTTGTTGAATAGACCAGACCAAGAATCCCAACAGAATGATTCACCTTCCTAATTTGTCTGGGTGCCTTCTGGTACTGTCTTAGGACTTTCCCCATCCCTTTTATGTTCATATGCTGAAAGTTTTGTCTACAAGTTTGCTGGCTTCACGTTAAACATTTTGGCTAGAATATGTCATGGGTGATGGTTTGTATTTTATTGTGTATCACATCCGGAGAGAGAATATGTGATGGCTCCACCATTTGTGGGGCTAAATTTGACCACTGGATTAGGGTGATGAAAATCTGATCCTCCATGAACATACACTTATGTTTTCCTCCTTTGACTTGGAAGAAATCTTTGTGGTATTACTCTGGCACTCTGTGAATGTCAGATTCCCCATAAATCATGCCCTTAATGCTTTTAACACTAGTTGACAGTCTTTGCCTGGGTCAATAATTTCATTAGGGATTGACAATGATTAAAATCTAATTCAATCCTTCCTTTTCTCTTAATAGGTGGCATGCTTCTGTAAAATAGTTTTCTCTCAAGTGGGGTTTTGTTTTTTTCTTTTTGGTTACTCTGAAATATAGTGTTACTTGAAAGACAGGATGAATGCTTAATTTTCCCATTAGATACATGTTTTCAGAGGAAAGAGCTTACTTAATAACTGCTTCAAATGATGACATAAGAGTCAGGAAGGGGGCTTACTCTTTTTTGAGTATCATTATCTAGTCATAGATTTCATTGATTCAATCAATGCCTCTACATCCCTGATGCGTTTTTGGTCTAAGAAGTTATACGTTGAATAATTCAGCATCAGTTGTTTTACACTGCGATGTTATTTAAAAGAAGAAGATACAGCCAATTCTACAACTTTATAAATGTTTGGAAAAAATGAGATTGACAAGACAGTGAAAATCCCTGTCATTACACTTGACGAGCCACTCAGTCCAGAGAACGTCCTCCACCAGTTGTGGTGTAGAGTTCGGTCTTTCAGCCTCACGTGATTAAAATGAATTTACTTTTGGAAAATGGATTTCCTCAGACTGAAAAGGAAGCACAATTTCAAGAACTGTTCACCTATAGCATAGTCAAGACAAAATGTCTCTATTTTGAGAATTTTCCTTTAACAATAAGGATATGGATATTTTTCTTTCCTTTTTAAGATGAGTTGATAAATAGCTAACTATTGGCTTAGTTGCATAGTTCATTACTTGGCACACACATTGAAAAGGGCAGTATATTTGTTTGGTCATTATTTGTGCTCTAAAGTGAGGTCAAACCCAAAAGAAAATGATGACGTTAAATGTGTGTGAGCAGGTAACATGTAAGCATGCGTGCGCACAAACTGAAAGATGTATTACTAACTTGTAGAGTTACCAACTGTCTTGATTTTAGTACTGAAAGTCACATGTCCCCGTAAACCCTCCAGGCCCAGGCGAAAGGGGGTGGTTGCTTACACTAAAATTGCCAGATAAGAAGCAGCACGGAAGTCAAGCAACAGATCTCTCGTGAATCTTCCTCTTCTTGACTCAGACATTTAACAAGGCCTTTAATTCACACGTGAATTGGTATGTCATACTGGCAGGAAAAGGGCTTTTTAAGTATATAAGGATATAAATTCTTAAAACTATTGGGAATATACTAAAAGTCTTCTAAAACTGCCAGTTTAAAATGGCCCAAGAATCTCACTACCTACTTTTTCTTCAGAAGAGGTGATATAGCTGCCAGTATTTCTGAATACTTCAGCCAAAGCTTAGAAAATGGAAGGGTGAAAGGTACAATGTGCCTGAGTTGATTTCCACTATGGGATTTTATTTATACAGACACTATTCGTTGAAATGGACCTTGAGGAGTTACAGAATCTATCTTTCCACATCTAGTCAAGACCACAAATAGACCACAATGGGATTCTGCCCAATATATTTTTAAATATTCTCAAAGAAGGGGATATCCCATTATTAATTTTCTGTCTTACCTAAAACTCTCATGCTTTATATGAAATTCGTTTTTTTCTGGTTGATGCTAGAAGTTGTGAAAAGCCGGAAATCATTCTTTGACAAAGGTTAGAGATTAGATTTCAGTTTCTTTTCAGCATTTTAATTCTAGAAACTTTTAATTTTTCTTCAAAGTTTGTATTTTCAAACCCTTAGTTACATTTGTAGCTCTCCTCCAAATCCCTGAAGCATAGATTTGGGTGTATTAACCAAACAGAGGTGCAAGAGGTTTTTCTTTGGGAGAAAACAATTTCCACTTTGTAATACAAGTTTTTATATTCTTTAAATTATAGTACTCATGAAACTGACATATTTGTCGTGAAAATAGTATTATATAATAATCTATTGTTGCAGAATCTTAATAAATTGATGTCTCAAGGAATAAAACTATTAGTTTTATTTATCAGAGTTTAAGAGACTCTGTAGGATCTCCAAATGGCTATCCAGACATGGCATTTTATTGTTAGGATTTATGACTAAAATTCCATTCTTCGTCCTCAGGACCAGAGATGATCCTAATTGCAGGTGCTTTCCAGTAAAAAGAAGTGCTTTGAACCCATAAAAGGGAAAGAACATGATCCTGTGAGACATATATTTTATTTTAGTTCTTTTTCTGGTTTCCAGATCTGTGACCTGAGTTATTGCATTTGGTAGGTAGTTTAGGAATACAGAAGTATTTCATTTAGGTTGTTAGTATTTTTGAGATTGAAAGAGATTTAACAGAAGTTAAAGAGTATTTGCTACTTGATGTCGATGAGAAAGAAGTGAAAAGCAGAATCCTCAAACTTCAACGGGTATGCAAAGTCACCCAGGGGATCTTATTAAACTCGGTTTCTCATGGAATGTGGCCCAAGAATCTGCATTCTTACAAGCTCCCAAGTGATGCTGATGGTCCAAGGACCACATTTTGAATTGCAAGGTTCGAAATAACTTAGCTATAGCTTAATTCAGCCTTTCTCTTCTTAACCTAGAAAAACAAATAGCAACCAATGAGATACTCTCTTTATGCGGGAGGAGGGACATGGGTATGGATGAGAAAAACTACTTTTATGGTATTATTGGACTAGAGAAATATTTGTAGAAACTAGTTGAAAAAACTATTTCAGTAGCACAGTGACTAGACTGTGGATATAAATCTGAACACATACACTGGCAGCCTAGCCCATAATTGCTGAGTGTTTTTGTTATAAATTTTTAATCCATACTTTATAACTAGATTTAGACTTGTTTTACTGCCCTTTAATGAAATTTAGTTTTCTCTATATCATATCATGAATATACCAAATTACTTTCTACAAAAAATTTCTTATACAGAAATTTGGTATTACAAATACCATAAACCAAATAAATTTTTATATTTTGTACCTAAAGTTGACATTTAGATCTTTTAAACCAAGCGCCAGTAGCCTTATTTCATGTAGTGCCTACTTTAATTCACAGTCATTTGTTATTTCAGCAAAAATTATTTACTGGGCAGCTCCTTATTCATTTGCTATGCTTTTTGAATTTTTGCCTTGTCTGTTAAGACTGTTTGATTGTGACTAACAGAAAAAACCCAAATCAAAATTTAAACAAGGTGTAATAGTTTACCTTTTCCTTAAATCTAAGAGCCTACTTTACATTCCAAGATGTCAAGGATCAAGTCACCTTCTGTCTTGTTGCTTCCCCAATGAATGGCTTTCTATACTGAGATTATTTTCTGGTCCAAAATGGCTGCTAGAGTTTCAGCCATTAGGACCACAGTTCAACCAGCAGAAGGGAGAACAGGAGATAGAAATGCATGCTTCCTCCACCACCACACTGCTTTTCTTTGTATCCCACAGGTCACACGACCATACTTAGCTGCAAGGAAGGCTGGGAAATGTAGTCTTTATTCCAGGAGGCCATGTCCCCATACACAAAGCCGAGGATACTATTAGTATAGAAGAGAGAATGGTAAACTATGATCTGTAGGCCAAATCTGGCCAGTGCCTATTTTTGTAAATAAAGTTTTATTAGGACATAACTATGCCCATTCATTTACATAATGTCTGTTGTTGCTTTCACACTACAGTGGCAGAGCTGAGTAGTTATGAAAGAGATCATATGGCCATAAAGCCTAAAATATTTTCTGTCTGGCCCTTTACAGAAAATGTTTGCTGATTCCTGCTAAGAAAGAAAAAGAGAGATAACCTGCAGTCTCTGTCAAATTTTTTAAGGCTATTTTCCTCTCCTCTTTCATCTTTTGCCAAGTTTAGCACATTTATAAAATCCAGCAAAATGCTAAGTAGTAAGATCTGAGCAAGAGTTGCACTTATCCTGGTAGAGGATGTTAGGGAGACCATTTGAGTAAGTTATCAAGATGTTTCCACGTAGTATTATCTTTTTCTTTATTTTACCATTATAAGATTTATAATTGTTCCACATTTGGGTCTTCTATCAGTCAGGGCTTAATTGATGCAAACAGAATCCATTCTAGTGAGTTTAATCGGGAAGGGATTTATTACAGGACATTAAATGACATACATAATCAATAAGAGCTTAAGAGTGGGGGAAGAGTGGTGCTAAACAAGACAACTCTAGGCAGATTCTTCAAAAATGACTCCCTAAGTACACCACAGAGTGAGCCACCAAAAGAGCTTCTATCTTGCCCCCGATCCAAAATATACCATGACCCCTGTGTCACAGTCAGGAAATGCCATGATTAAGAAGCTATCACTTCTGCTGGCTCCAGAACTATGATTCACACAAGCAGTACTGATGGCCTGCACTGTCCCTCTGACATCCACACAGAACTCGTATGTGGACACTGAAATATTTGCTAATGCTGGCACAAAAGACTTCAGATGTCTCTGTGAGGAGACCTGACAGAAGAAACAGCACAGCTGCAAGGGCAAGCCTTCTACCTTACTTCCAAATGCCAAGTCTCACACAGAGTGCTTCTGGTTCGTCAAATATAAGTTGTGTTCAGAATCCAAGCTGCAAGGGAGTCTGGAAAATGTAGATCTTAGGTTTCTACTCTCTGTAGCCCAAGAAGGCCAACTAGAAAAAGGGTGGAATGGAGGATAGGCACCAATACTTCATGCCCTGTTATAGGACTCTTGTTCTAGAACAGAAACTCAACATCTGTATGTGATGGTGTCCTTTTTTCTTGATTCTGACAAGTCAGTATGTCAGTCTATCAACAATCTTCTGCAACTTGATCAAACCATGAAAGTTTTATATTCTCAGAAGTATACCAAAATCAGGCAATCTTAATAATCACTTTTATATTTGAGTCAGTGACTTCATACATATTTTTAGCCAGGAAACTCTTTCATCAAATAAAATACCCCCTGGAAACATTACATACAAGGAAATAAATAAACAGCTGCTCTCATTGAAGCAGTGGTAGGGCTTTGCGGTAGAAATACTTTGTGCTCCCTGTATGTTCTAGGTGCCTGCTATGTCTCCCAGATCCCCTTGAAGTTACATTGGGACCATGCTGACTGCACTCTGGCCCATGGAGCCTGTCACATAGCTGGCCCTAAAACCTCCTGTGGACCCTTCATTTCTCCCTTCCCCACTGCAGCAATAGTGGAGTCCTTATGTTGATATAGTGGCATCACACAATGATGACAGCTGGACCCTGGATTTACCAGGTGAATGAGAAGGACTTTTGACCTGCACTGGCATTTGTGGGGTGACAGACAAACACTTGTGGCATGACGTCACTGAGATTGTATGTCACCACGACATAGCCTATGTCTCTTGACACGTGGGCCTGAGGTCCTGAGTCACCGCCTCTGGTCACTCTGACTCCAGACTCCCTCTGCTCCTCCTTCTCTCCCTGCTCTCTACCCTGCTCCTACGGCAACTCCACACAACTCTTTTTGTCAAGCACAGTTTGCAAACCATTACTTTAGGCTTTGAAAGTACCCTCCTCTCTGGTTTTGGAATGTAAACAACTACATAAAAAATGAATATTACAATTACAGATCAATCCAGGAATGACGGAGATGGCGGTGGGGAAGGCAGGTTCCGCTCTCCTGTCACACTTCACTGAGAACGGCCCTGAATTTACATTTTACATATAGAACTTCACTGCTCAGAAAGAGTGTGAAAACCATTGTTTTCAGCTTTTTAAAGTATTATATATGGAATCCTGTTTTGTTTTTTCTGGAAAGAGCATTGTTTGTCAAAGTGATGTAATTTGATATCATTTGGGTCTGACTTTTCCATAGAAACAATGTTAAAATAGTGACTAAGGGTGCTGACTAAAAGCCCAGTTCCTGAAATAAGAATTGTTACAGACACTATATTTAACTAGCTAGAAATAGGATATTTGATTAGCTTATAGAAATAAAGTTATATTATTCAAAAACTTGGGAAGATGTATTAACCAATCACAGAATATTTTATTTAATAGAGAACATTATTATGGTATTCTGTAACTAACCAATCAGTCGGTGAAAAGGAATCTTAACAAATAAGTCACAAACTTCTGAAGGGCTTCTCGGAAAGATTGACAGGCTTTTGGAGGGGAACTTTGGTCACAGATCTACTGCCCGACTCATCCAGGGGTTTGGTGACTTTCTTTTCCTCATCGCACATTACCCTGTAATCACCTTAGGCATCAGACATCAAGCAGTTGATCTTCCCGATACATTGGAGGTTGGACAATGTTTCCCTCACCTTCTCTGGGATCCCTGGTGTTCATGTGTGTCTAGAGCGTCAGGAGCAAACATGTGAACGGACTGAATATGGATCTCTCTGCTCTTACAAAGCGAGCTTCTGATCCATTCAGGCCCCGGCTCGATGCTACCTCCTCAGGTAGGTCTTCCTTGACTGTCTTATCTAATAGCTGTGCCTTCCTCCCCCATGACTTCCTGGACCTTGATTGACTTTCTTTTCTTCTATCATGTATCACTAATCGAAATCATGTTGTTTATTGTCCTGTTTCTCCACTGGCATATAAGCTCCAGGAGGGGAGAGCTTTTATTTAACACCACTGTATCTCCAGCAAATATCATAATGCTGGTGCATAGTAGGCACTCAATATTTTTTAGGTTCCCTAGAGACTTATTCTTAAATATCGTCTGAGATGCGCAGTTCTTTCAACTGTATTCCTCTGTTATTACACAGGAGCCCTGTTGATGTGGTGGTAAGGTGTGGAGGGACCTAATCTACAGTCATATGATTAGGTCTCCGTCTCTTAGTGAGCCTGTGCCCCTGGGCTGTGACCTTCACATGTACTCTCAGTGACCTCCCCCTGCCCATTGCCCCTGACCTCAGGTAGGACAGGATGGCTAGAATGGGCTGGAGCTGGGTGTTTCCCTTCCTCCAGGTCAGTTAGGCTCTGGTGTAACTCAGCAGATTAGGATCTCGAAAAACAATTTCTTTTGAGGGCAGGCCTTGTTAAGAACAACAGAATGCTCTGGGCGTATTTAGAATGGCTATTTCCCCCTCCCCTGACAGAAACTGAAGGGGAGTTTTCTCTGATCTTTACTATGAGAACCTGGTAGGGTTCCTGGAGGTAAAACTCATAAAAAGTGCCCCCTGCCTCCTCAAGGCCAGATCCCACCCAGAACTTTTAATTCTTGTCCATGCAGAGCCTCTAGCAATTTGTCAATTACAGTTTAGGTTTCCTGCCCTGGCACTGTTCCCGAGGAGCTTTCTCTTGGTGGGATCCACCTGTCTGTCTCTACAGTTTTGGGGGCAGAGCTTTGCCCTGTGACCTCAGTTCTCTGATGGATCTAATGAAGAGAGGGTGATTTTCAGTTCGTTCGGCATTTTTCTTTTGTGTGGATGGGCGAGACGACTTCCATGCTCCTTAGGTGCTAACTGGAAACTGGAATCCTTCAATATTTTTTATATTTAAGTGAATAAATGCTGTAAGAATGTACAGCTATCAGCTGGTTCACTACAGTTCTAGCTTTGCAAATCTGAGCTTTATTTTAATCAACCACAACATAATTGTACAGAAAGAGATGAATTTTCACGCCTGTCAATGGTACTTCTCCAACACGATGGGATCCCTGATGACCGGATTTTTTACTACAAGAGATTGTTTGCATAATACAGAAAGTAGTGTATATAAGCTATATTACCCATTAATCAAAAACTCCCTAAACTGAAAGCCACATATTCTAAATGTATTGATTGTGGTATAGGCTAAGCTACAATAACACATACTTCTTACGGTTCAAACAATAAAAGTGCACTTCTCTCGTGCAGAAATAGTTTGGAGGGAGGGGGGAGGTGCCCAGCT